ATCCGTCTTGGTAATCACAGCCTTGAAAGTCCCAGTATAAGGAATTGTATGCCCTTTTCTTGTGTCCGGTTTATTTCTTTACCTTTCTCTACCTTGCCTTTAACGACAATGCCACAGAGTGAGTAAGACAACAGAAAGTAACCTTTATGAACTCCCATTTTCTTTCTTCTTTTTTTTTTTTTTTTTACAGATTTGCTCACCTCTCTGAAGGTTTTGCCTAGCCCTCTCTATTCATCTAAATCTCCCCTGGGAATTTGTTTTACTTCACGGAAAAACAAGTTCATTGATCCCGCCAAGAGGCGATCCCAGTTTAATGACAATTAGACAAGGTAAAACTTATGAGATCCTCTGTGCCTCGTCTTCGTTCTCATTTTCTTCTCCTGCGCTAATAGACCTTGTGGCCTCATTATAAACAAACTGACAAGAAGCACAGACATAAATAAAAATAATCGTATTTTTCACTTTAGACTTCTGAGGGACAAACAGGCCTCAGTACTCCTCAGGGGGAGCTAACTCCTCAGTGTGATGTCCCAGAACAAGCAGATCAAACGCCTCCTTCTCGGCTTTCTTCCTATCACTCTATTTTGGCTGTCTTCTTTCATGTTGGGAAGCAGTGGCTTAAGTGGCTCTTTTTTTGGAGTTCACTGATGGGCTCTCAAATGAAGCCTGTGAGAGTTGGAAAATAAATTGATTCATTCTCAGACTGGGATTTTTGTGGCGCCCCCTACTGTTCATTGACCTAGGGTGTGGAGCAGTTACATCATGTCAATTTATAGCAGTTTTACAAATGTTAAATGAGCACTTGGTCAATTGAAGAGATGGGGTTTTGAAAAGTGATCAACAAGACCACAACTCCCCCATGTGGCTCATCTCTGTACAGCAACTTTTTGAGAAGCAGATCTGGAGCCACCCTCCAACACTATCTGCTTTTTCATGTTGTAGAAAAACAGGTCAGCATTCAAAATAATAAAATACATGTTGCTCCTATACAGATCCCCTTAGACTTTTCTGGTCCAGTATTTGAGTGCACTTGAATCATTTAACATTTTTAGGAATCTTTAAGCACAAACTTCAATGCATTTAGGAGATTTTTTGTGACACACCAACATAAACTGGTAGATAATTGTTAAGTAATCAGAAAAAGATTGTACAGCACAAATGCAAACCAACAGAAAACATAGATAAGGAGAGTATTTATCAGAGGCAATGGGCTCAAGGTACCTGGGAGAGATGCAATAAACCCCACAGCATCAGTGCAACAATCTGGGGACAAAATGACTATGTCTCATGCTCAACATAAATACAACCTTTATGGAAGAGTGGAAAGATGATAGCTTTACGAATAAGATTTTCCATTTTTCCACAATACATGTCGAGCACACAGCAAACATGTGGAGGAAGGTGATTTGGTTTTATGAAACTAAGGTAGAAGTTTTTAGCCAGCATGCAAAGTGTAATTTGTTACGCCTTGACATCCCATCGTACCTGATGTCATCGTAGCATATTGCTGTGGGTGTGTTTATCTTCAATATGAACAGGGAAGTCAATCAAAGTAGATCTGAAGATTATGAACTAAGTACAATACAATACATATCTTGGATGAAACTGTGCTGCCTTAATCGAACATGTTTAAAAGTCTGTCTATATTCACACCTTGAGCAATGGCTACCAAATTTGGATCTTGTCCCAAAGAATGAGATGCTGGATATGAGCATCTGAAGAAGGCATCCATAGGATAAACATGTACTTATTTGGTTCTGAGCTGAAAATGAAGAGTAGATTTACATGCAGCGGACTTTAGGGCAATATTGGATCGTAATCATGAAACAGGAATGTTTAGTTTTCCTCTTGGACCTGATGATCCTGTGACCTGATCTCTGATAGATGAAAAAGAATGAATAGAGGGAGTGATTAATGATTGCCACTTCCAGAGGACAGGGCATTACTGTAACATAAGCCCCATAGCAACTAATAGCGCTTTGAATGGCCATCTATAGCTGTCTTCCACAGCCTCATGGGGTTTTAAGGGTTCTTCTCAGTGTTGTGATGATTTTGCGTGCTGAGCACTGCTAACTTGTAATAACATAATTATGTGTCTAGATGCATTTTAAATGTGCACAGGTTAATTTATCTGTAAGCTCTGTTAAAGAGCCTTGTAGCTGTTAGGCCCCCAGGATACCCGACAGAAGCTTTTACATCATGAATATATAGTTAATTGCTTTGCAGTTGGATGTAAGTTTGCCTTTCTTTGGATCCTTCATGATCAGGGCTCACTGGTCTTGGGTCAATAAGTGTAGAACCATCCCACCTATTAGGAACGAGGCAATTTGTGCCCCTAGACATTAATTGAGAGCAGGCAGCGTTTTTAGCTCCACAGCAGAGCTTGATACAGATACTCTATCTTGGATGTCTGCCACTGCGATATTTACCGGTTCTTGTTCTGGGAAATTGTTTGTGCTTCTCCTGTATACCTCATCAGGCAGGTAACCAGAGCGGTGAGTCATTGTCTGGCTGTGTCTAGACTCTAAGATACGGACAGGTTCATTCAACATCGTAGCTTTATTTTGGTCGAACAGTTGGTTAATGATACCTCTGGGGTACCTTGACCAACTAATGCTGCACTGTAAAATAAAAGCAGAATTATTGAAAGGATGTGTTAATAAAATTCCTGACCATGTTATCCATCTTACAGTACAGTTTGAGGTTCATGAAATGCTACAGTAAATTTTTAATCTTGCACTTAAATTTAGCATTCTTATATATATAATGATCTATCTATCTATCTATCTATCTATCTATCTATCTATCTATCTATCTATCTATCTATCTATCTATCTATCTATCTATCTATCTATCTATCTATTTACAATACAATAAACATACAACTATATTCTATAAAGAACTCTTTCTTTTCAGTCATCAAAACATTGTTCCTAAAAGAGAGCCCGCCTTCTTTATCACCTTGTTGAGCTTTTTTAAGTTAATTGCTGTGATACTGTTACCCCAGCAGATAATGAGAGAAGAGATTACACTCTCCACAAAAGATTGTTAAAGATGAGCTCTGTGTATGCACCTTGATGCTCTGTCTCTCCAGTTGTTTTCCCTGAAAAGAGATCACTTGGGACAAACTCTTTAAATAACACTTCATAACTTATATGTATATAATATATAATATAATAATAATAATAATAATAATTATTATTATTATATTTGTAGTGAGTATTTGTAGAAAACTAAAATTCAAAAAACTTAAGATGCGATCAAAGCAAAAGCTTAATTCAGGACCAATAGAACCTGATGAACCATGGATTCTGGCTTACGCAGTCCAAAAAGATAAAAAAAGGTAAAAATCCAGTTCTTTGCTTGCTTTATTCTCCGTACAGACAAACAGGTTACAGGCTTTACATGATTCTGCTACTACTATCCCTCTAATTCCTGCACCTGTTCTTTAATTGAATGACTGATTGAGACTGTGACTGAAAACTCAGAACTGGTAAAAAAATAAATAAAAAAACATATGACCAACCATGTGCATAATGAGTAGGGCTGGGTATTTTTGCCAAAGTCCTGAATCGATTCGATTTTGATTAGTCCAGTTCTAAATAGATTAATTTCGACTCGATCTCTTTTTACAGTAATGAAAGTGGTTCAACTGTGTTTCAAAATACTCAAGTATTTTAGTTTTTTTCCTGTCACATTAAAAGCAAAGTGCAAACTTGTAAATCAGACAATTTAAACTTGAGATGTGAACAAAACTGTCTCAAAAGTGCAAACTTGTTTGTGAAAAGTGAAAAACTGAAGCCTCACATGAGCAAGCAGATGTGACACGGCGGGGACACAGCAGACATTCATGAGCTGCATTATCTTCAATGCACAAACCATATTTGCAATGTTGTCTGTAACAACTACAGGGTTTTTGCTAATATCTTCAGTCAACCTATTGGCTATATTTGCAGCTGTCTGGCTTGAAGTAACCTTGTGTGCATCTTTCCTGCTAATCTAAATGGGAAGGTCACTCCCGTAACTATAAAACTAATCAATCTCATTCCCTAGACATCGATTTTGCAAAAATGTAAAGGAATCGATTCAAAATCTATTTTTTTATCCAGCTCTAATGATGAGCTACCTAAGATCTCCCTATTTATACTGTGAAACACCCACATCCCAAGCTAAAATTAATTAACTAATTAACTGAATCACTAAACAGATCTTATTCTAAATAACAAATCAAACTAGATAATCCAGATTCTAAAATTCAACTAAAAATTGAGAAATAGCTCCTACAATAATAATATTAATGATAATAATAATCATCATCATAATAACAAGCGGCGGTTCTAGACCAAATGTACCAGGGGGCAGCTAGTTTTCATGGGGGCACAGAAAAGCATGAAATAAAAAAATAGGGCAAGGGATTCAAATATATTATCATAAGATAGCTGCATGAAGTAAAATTTCTATTCAATTAGGTTTAATTAAAATTCTATTTCTTATGAGGTCATTATACATTCATAATTTAGGAATTTTACATATTTTTCACCTAATTTAAGTTAAAATAACATTTTCTATAAAATCTGAATTAGTACTCAAGAGAAACAGATAAATTCAGCTGTAAAAATTAGAGTAATTTTTTTTTGTTTGTTTAAAAAAACATTTAGCAGATGAAAACTGGGATCCTATCTCAATACCACTGAAGCTTTCATCTTATTTTTTTTAAATAATTAGTAACCATATCTGTTCCAGTGCAGATCATAATTAAAATTCATTTTAATTTTAAGTATTATTTCTTCAGTACAGGGGTCATAACATGATCTACAGGGGCAATGGCCCCCGTTGGCCCCTGTCTAGAACCGCCCATGATAATAATGCTGCAGCGCTGCCATTATAATATGGATGTTATCTGATTTAGTTTCCCTTGACACTGTCAGTTTGTAGCCACCAAAAAGAACCCTGCGGGCAGGGAAGTATTTATCATAAACACCGCGGTAAAGCCGATTAGGACAAAGGCCATCACCCACTTCAGCAGCTATCTTATTGGTCTGCGCGCAGTGACCGCATCTAAACACAGCAGCTATTTATTTTATACGTTTTGACCGTTACAGTGGCTTTTAGTCAGAGGTGTTTTACTGGAGGTCACATGCCCGGCTTGTTTTGTTGTTCTTTGCGAACATGAGGAAGTTGTTTCCATAGATAAAGGCCACTGCTGATCGCCTCCGCGCTCCGGGAAGTTTAGTCAGCATTTATCCAGGATGGAGCTGCTGCTGCGGTGGTGGCGCAGAGACCCGATGCTCCATCGGTGGTTGAGGGAGGCTCATGTGAACGCAACAGTCCGGGCGGTGGTGCTAACTTCATGTTTGGTGAGAGACACATAGCCTCCAGTTAAAAAAAAAAATCTATTTATTTAACTGTGTGGTTTATTTGTGCGTGGACGTCCCTTTGTGTCGGATTGTGACGCTGTCCTACAGAGCGCAGAAAAGTGGGACAGATTAGAATTTGATCTCTGCAGCCAAAAGGCAATACTCATCTATCTGACAGGCTGATGCATCAGAGGATGAATACTGAAACTTGTTAGCCATTTTAAAAGACAGCAGATCATTGAATTGAACCATAAATTCATACATGCACTCATTTAAAGAGGCTTAATACACAAAATGTATATTGATGAGACACAATAAGATCCTAGAGATCTAAGAACAGTGGTGTAACTCTCTGTAAATACTGTAGAGTATGCAGTTGTTTATGGGCCCCATCACTGACACCTGGTAGGCCCCCTACAATTGTGGACCAGGAAGTCTCTATGCAAATGTAGTGGTGCCAAAAATTCCTCCTAAATCCAACTGAGACTGGATTGACTGATATTTATACCCCAAAACATGGCAGATTTCAACAGGATGGTGACCAATAGCAAAGCAGACAGTGGTACTTTTAATTACTATGTTAATAACTGTATAGTTCATTAGATGGTTGGTAAAAATACACTCATATAATATGTTTCAAACTGCAATAAAGATCTTAAAAGAACGATGTATTTGAGTATTTTGCTTTGTACACTGCAACTTGGAATTATGGGTAATCCAGAGCGTAGATTGAAACCATAACCGTTACGTACAATGTGTTAGCTAAGATGGATACCAACAATGGGTACTTAAGGATTTCAGAAAAGAAAAAGCAAAGAAGAGCTGCTGGAAGAATGGGAAAAAATTCCCAAAAATAAACACGTTCTTTCAAAGAACCAAAGAGGGAGAGGTGGACGCTGGTGCTACAGTGAGTGAAGATTGCGACCAGCAGATGAATAGAGAGAGTGTGGGGGAGGAGGGGAGCTGTGAAGCTCAAGGTAGTCCAATAAGACTCATTTTACAGCAGAATACAGTAAAGTACATCCATGTATAGTGAAGAATGATGAAACGATAAAGTGTGTATGTATGGGGCACATTTCGGGTTGGTTATGGGGCCCACCCAGATAATGTTGCTTACAGGCCTATTGTTGTGTCGTTACGCTATTGTCCTAGAGGTGATTACTAACGTTCTGCTTTTTTACTTTAGCTATATTCCTAGGCTTTTTGGCTGCTAGACACCTAATGTTATTTCTGGTTTGTGCAAAGCAGGCTTCATTCTTCTGCTGTTTAAAGGTCAAGTTCAACTGCTTCAGAATTTTATCACTGGAACTACTTTGCTCTTTCTCTTTGCTGGTAAAATGTGTCAGTTACTTTATGTCATAAAAAACAAACAAAACAAATGTTTCTTTTTCTTTTTGTGAGTATGTTTTTCTTTTGGTGTTATTCATTTTACATGTTTCCTATTGGTAATATATTTTATATCTAAAGATACTAAAAAAACGTATATTTTTGTCTGTCTCAATACATTGTTTTCACAAATTAAATCAGATGTTTCTGATCTTATATTCAGCTCTTGAATAATTTCCTTTCAGAAATTTACTCTGGGAAATTATTTCATATCCACATTTTCTTTGTTTTGATTATATTATATAGCTCTCATTTTGTCAATTTTTACGAGCTTTTTAGGGTGTATAAAAAAGTGTCCCAGATGAATGGCTGAAACTGTACATCTGATCCTCTTCAGTTCCTGATGGTGTCCATTTCCATGTATCCTGGATTGAAGTCCCTCGGGGTCCTGCTTCATGCAGTCTTCACAGGAAGCTGTGTGCCAGGACACTATTCTGTCCTTCTCATCAACTGCCCCAATGAACAGGCAGCAAAAGATATTGGCAGGTACAGCCAGTGTGAATTTTATAAAACTTTAAAAGATTGCAGTTCTCGATTCTTTTGCTGTTGTTGGAGGGACCATCAGTTGAATTGATAACAGACGTCTTTTCAGATACAACATTTTATGAAATTATAAAAACTTTTAAAATAGGTAAGTGAATTTTTCTTGAGGTACAGATCTTAAAAATTATGTCAAACTCTCATAGGTCTACAATCGGAGTATACTATTTTTCTATTTTTATTATAAGCACGTATAAATTTAGCTTTAGCATGAATGTAATTGTTTCCAACAACCTCTTAGGAAAACATATTTAAAGTCACTTGCAAGAAAACTTTGCGTTTTTTTTGCACGCTTTGAGCTTTTGGCATTAAAATGTCATAAAATCACCTTGATAAAGTAGAATATAGCGATTACAGATATCTTTTTGATTCATTACAACCAGGTGAAGTATTTAAAGGTTAAAACAAGTTAAAATGTGACATTTTTCAAAATTTTATAAAACAGATGTTTAAAAATATTGTTTAATACCGAATTGTTAGACTATGGGCAACAAATTCAAGTGGTAGACTACCAACAGGAGCTGTACAGCAGATAGTCATCAAAAGTTCCAAAGTGGGCTTTAAGATACAAAAAGGCTGTTTCCAAAGAAGATGGATGTAATCCTATATGAAAGCATATTAATAGAAAGGTTATCGAGAGGCAGATCATGTTTCCAACAGGATGATAACTTTATGCTATGCTGCATTGAATTTGCGCAAAAGGACCCCAGGACTAAATCTATTTTCTGTTTTCTCAGACTGAGTAAAATGGAACAGCTCTGTTTCTATTATCTGTTTAAATTTGGTTTTAAAAATACAATGATGGATAATAGCTATTAATTTTGTTTTTGTTTTGGTTTTTTTACCTCTTTTCATATCTACTGACCTTTTTCCTTTTGATTTTCTTTCTTAGGTCTATCATGGAAAAACGATTGGCAGCCAGTGTTAACATCCTCTCCAGGACCTCCACAATGTAAGACCTACATCACTCTGACAAAGAATAGGATGTTTAATCCTACCTCTCACACAATCACAAAAGTCTTAATTGGGTTTAAAGCTGAGGAACAGTTAGTCTCCCAAACTGTTAACTCATGCATGTTTTTACACGCATCGATTAATGTTCCCATTAATGGGTAACCATAACAACAAAGAACATTTGAAAATGCTTAAGCCAGTGCTATACTTAAAAACTAAATAAGTGTTTTCCATGAAACCAGAGAAGATGTGTAGTTTGAATGCATACAAAGCTTTTGTTAAAATAAATATCCAATCTTTAAAGGTTATATAAAACAATACACATACCTCTCTTATTTCTTTTTTTTGTGTGTGTGTGTGTGTGTGTCCTGTTTTGCCAATATAGCTCTAGGAATGGATGTCCCAGAGCTAGATGATACCCCAACTGCTAGAACAAACCATTATGACTGTTCTGCTTGATATTTGTATATGAAACTTTATTGAAAAGTATTTTGGGAGTAAAATCTTATACAACGGACACAGAGACGGAAAGGAAGGTGAGAAAGAAAGAGGGGATAAGAACTAAGGGAAGAGAGAAAGTGATAGAGACAGGAAAGAGTGCATGAAAAGAGAGAAAATAAAACAAAACAGCAAAAAGAACAAAAATACAAGAGCAACAAAAGACAAAAAGAAGACAGCAGACAACCAAAGTCAACATAAATAAAAGCTTCAAGAGCTGCAGGTATCCTTTGGATATCCATGTGGGTTGAAATCAAAACCTATGGTGATTACACAATATAAATCAGGGTGGTATCTGTAGCTGCAGAGTTGTGTTTATTGGTAGTGTGTATCCATGAACACCTAGAGCAAAACTCCCGCGGTATGTATGCATGGGCTTGCTCATGTATATTCAAAAAAAGAAGGAAAGTATGCTTAATAGCAGGTGTGGGTTGCCCCAGATTCACCATAGAGGGCCCCAGACAGAAAATAGGCGATGCGAGGGCCCCAGATATCCAGAGGCACCCCAAATCACTGGGACACAAGGAGGACGGACATAGGGCTGGCCGCACGAACCAGGAAAGGGCAGACGAGAGCACCGATAGTCTAACCCCTAAAGGGCCAAACCCCAAAGGGGCCCAGTCGCTGAGGAACCAGACTCACAGGTCCGCTGTTGGCCAGTCACCACCACCGTGGATCAAGATAAGAGCCCCGGGGTCCAAGGCCCAGGGGCGCACCACCCCCTAGTAGGGACCCCACGTGGCTAGAAGGTCTAGACCCAGCCTGGAAGCCCCGGAACGAGACAGCACCCACTGAAGTACCCAACCCACACCTAGAGAACCATATATAAGTTTCCTTATGCTGCATTTGTCTGTTCTCGTTAACCAGAAGTGCAAATGATTCATACTGCTTGCTATATTTTCTATAGTTAAATGTTTGGGTGCATCCAAGTCTGCTCTGGAGTCATGACTGTATGTTTGTGGTAGTACATTCTCTGAGATAAAAATTTTTGCAATTTCGGACACCCCTGGTATTTTAACAAGGCTTTTTTTTGTCAGAAATGCCCAGTTAAATTTCAGCCCTAATTCCATTTAGTTAAATCCAGAATGAGCTTCAAGTGTTATGGGGAAGAAGAAGGGGGAAAAAAACTAGACTTCAAAACTGGTAAAACTGAAAACCATATATATATATATATATATATATATATATATATATATATATATATATATTATTTTTTATTTTTTTTGTTAAATAATGCAAATATATAGCTATTCTCTTTACTTCTAAGTGCCAAACTGATTTATCTTTCTAAATTATGTTTTGTGGTTTTTCAGGTTCTACTGGAAAGGTGAAATTCAGGAAGCAAATGAAATCCTGATCGTAAGTCTTTTTATAAGCAAAGTGTTCTCTGAGACAGAATACCCATTTCATTTATTTTATTTTTTTTTGTTATTACCTTACAGCTGATCAAAACAAAGACCTCCAGGATCCAGGATGTTGTAGATCATGTGAGGTAAGATCTGTATCGTTTACAACATTTGATGCACTTTCTTATTTTGTTGTAACTCTCATCAGAAAGAAAATATGAAAGCCCATGTCTGTGAAATAAGTAACTTATCCACATGTGAATGTTCTGTGTGGTAACTGGAGGACAGTTTGCAGCAAATTCTATTACCGATTAGACTGCTGTTATAAAAGCAGAAAAAAGAGCTCATTTCTGAATGACTTACAGCAGCTTGCTTCTATAGAGCTATAGTCTAAATCTTTTACCTGCTGAGGTTGAAAGCAGCATCAAAAAGACAAGAATCAGACATTTTTTAAACAGATAGCTGAGAAAATACAAAAGTAAAGCTCTATCCCCCAAAACCTGACAAATACAATTTACTGATATATCCTTTGTTGTTCTGCAGTCAGTGAAGTATCATTCTACTGTATACTTACAGAGCAAATGTGACTATTATATATTTTCAGAAGCAAGTTCAAATTTACATTACTGGGTAAAATTAATTAAAACGAACAACTTATTTGTGAGTAATTCTTGTTAAAGGAAAAGAAAACTAAACTTATATTTATATTTTAAACAGATGTCAAAACTGTCAACTGTCAAAACTGTCAAAATGGGTGAGAATTATGAATACACAGTTGTGATGTGCCAGCTTGAAAACTGATTTATTCATCATATTCTATTATTTAGATGTAATTATCCCATAGTTCAGGTAAGGAAAAAGCTCAGCTTTTTACTATGAAAATTTGGAGCAAAGAGCTAGTGTCCTGTGAGCAGCGGCCCAAAAACTCTCCACACCTTTTTCAATGTCATTATGCTTTCACAGATTCTACTAGTTAAAGTTTGCAAATAAAGGCAAAATAAGTAACAAAAATTTAACACAGTTTAAAAATAAGGTTGTCTGAGGTATTAATAATTTAATGGGAAAATAATCTAGAAATCTAAAATAAACAATTGCAAAAAATGCAAACAGCACTCCTATTTAGTACCGTGAAAAAATCAGTATTGCATCCGGATACAATGTTTGAGTATCGATACTTTTCATAGTTGCAATACTTTTAACAATGCAACCAGGTAATCAAAATAGTGTGCTCGGTGTAAATTACCTCTAATGCTATACACATGAACATAGACTGTGAATTTTATACACCGACAATGTACCTCTTAGTTGAACTTTTACTTTGATAAGGTTTGGATTTCAGTTGTACAATACAAGAAAGGCATATTATCTAATTATTACCATAACTATTTACAGTAACTGTTATATTGTTTAGCTTTCTTTGTTAAAAAATAAATGCTTCAACATTAAATTGCAGTACAGCAGCACTTGATTTATCCTAAAATGGAGACAATTGAGAAAGTAAAAAAAAAAAGGATTGAACAGTATTGTTTCATTTTAGAAATTACTGAATGACCTCCTGCCCTGACGTGCATTTAGTTATGCCAGATGTTTTTGAAATCCCTCCAGTCATGCATCTTCATCAGACAGCAACCCTTGTAGGAGCCTTCGAGGGGCTCTAACCTGTGCTAAACAGTGATACATTGATATCATGGAGTTTTGTCAATATGTAAAGATTAAATAAAAGTACTTTTGACATTATAGTCAAACATAATCACATGAGCACCAATATTCACATAATACAGTCAATTTAAAAGACAAAACATGTCCTTTAAACAAAATAGTTTCTAAATCAAAAACCCAAATCCATTTAATTAGTCTTGAAGAATCTAAAATAAACAAATAAACTTTTGCTTTTCAATATACCTTTGTGGAGTTTCTTTTATAACACAGATTGCAACATAATGTAATTCCCTCTTCTGTGAGTAGGTAGCAACATGTAGTTCCTTCGTTATTGTTTTCCTTCTTTAGACAAGAATTACAAAGCTAACGCATGACATTAAAAAGGAAAAAACAATGATAGGAGGAGCTAGAGGAAGATCCTATTATGGGAAGTGGTCAAAAGAAAGCAAAGGTGGCGATACAGAGGGAGCTAACTTTCATTCAGGTTTGCTTTTACCTGCAAAGCAATTGTACAAAAAAAGTTTGTGCTTGGTGTGCGGCCAAAAGCTATCCAATTACGGTACATCATGTAACAATCAAGCTTATACCATATCTCAGAACAAACTCAAATAGTAGTTTGTTTTTTGTTTTTGTTTTTTTATGGAAACATTTAAACATGAAGAGCCAGAAAACTTTAATGATACTCTCTTAAAGCTTACTACTTCCAGGCTGATCTCAAAGGTAAATAAAAAAAGTCCCTTGCTTTTACAGAAAAATGTATTCTATGTCTGAATGATGTGGTTCAAGATATGGCAAAAGTCCCACAATTCTCAGGCACTGAAAGTGTTGTTATGCGTCATTAGGGAATTTACTTTGCATCTTAACGCGTTCATTGATGTTAGTAGATATTCTAGCATCTGGTTAGTGTGAAACTGGAGAGGAAAGTATTGGCTTTACATCAGAATATCCTAATTAAATAGCTCTTGAGTAGTAAGACTGCATAAGTGTTTGCAATGATGGAGCCACACTACTGGTACTAAAAGATGCTGCTCCACCTGTGAAAATATTGATGCATATTTGCATCATTGTGCGTGGAAATGGGAACAAACCATTAAGCCCTTTCTCTTCTTATAAAAGTTGGATGGTTATCATGTGACAAGTTGCTGTCCCACACATACTGTATTATCTGAAGGAGTAAGTTAATGTATTTATTACCAGTGAGAGGTGTGGTGTGTAAAATTCTACCTACCTGGCAGATATATTTCATCATCTGAATGAATTGAACCCATGAATGCAAGGCCAGAATGAAACCCTGCTTACAAGCAAAGATGAAATAAATGTATTCTGTTTGAAGGTGCGCCTCTGGCAACAACACATGCAAAGTGCCAACCTTGAGATGTTGTAATAGGTTGACATTTAAAGACTCCTGAGAAGTTGTCATTTTATTTCTCCTCAGCCTTCACTGGAGTTTAGGAACCATCTAGTTCAGTAATAGTTGTTTAAAGGGCATGACCTGTGCGTAGAAAATGAACTAACTTAACTGGAACAAGATTGTGGTGTATAGTCAAGGTTTAAAAAACACAATGGGTTTAAAAGGTTAAAGAAAAAAAAAACAGATGCAGAGTTGCATATGACAACTCTGATAAAGACGGTCTTTGCTTTAATTTATCCTCATTAAGAACTATAGATTTTAAGCTCTCTTTCTTTTCTGGCTCTCTTCAAGGTCCATTCATCCCTATGCAAACCCAGAAGCCCTCAGCTTCCCAGTGGGGGATGGCAGTCAGGCTTATATGAAGTGGATGGAAGACGCCATTCCAGATGACTGATAGAGGCTTTGAATCAAATCAAATGAAAGCATAAACAGCAGTCAAAACAAGAACATCTGAGCAACATGTGTGCAATCTGTTGCTCAAGGTCTTCAGGGAGCTATCTGCACAGTTCAAGTTTGTCAGCTGACATTTAATCTGTTTTGTTGTTTAATAAAAAAAAACACTATTTATATAAGCAGCATTGTCTATGTAATTCGATGTCCAGGCAATGTTTATTTTATGTATGAAATAAAAGAGATTTTATTTGCTGACATGCCAGGAAAACACAAATTATTTTTTTAGACAGAAAAGATGTCTAATGTAGTCCAGTCTGACAAGACCCTCCTTTATTTATTTTAAGTTCAGAATTTATTTCTAAAAAGAAAAAAATCTTTCATTTATTATGCATGTAGTTGTACATGCTGCAACTTACATGCTTTTTCGTTACACTTTTTCTACTATTTGTCAACACAATTGGCAAAGCAGCCAAGTCATAACGTATGAAAACTGAGTGCATTTTTGCTACATAGACATGGTAAGAATGACTTGCTAAATATTAATTTCTTCATCAATATTTAGGAAGAAATGGTATTGAAGGAACTTTACATGAAGTATATTCATTTCAGTTTATTTATATTGTGCCAATTAACAACACACCATCTCAAGGCACTTTACAGTTCAGCAGATCATACAGTCAAATTGATTCAAAGTTTTCTATATAAGGGAAACCAGTTCATTGCATGGACTCATTGACTCAATGCAATCCCTCACACTAAGCATGCTTGTAGCGACAGTGGAGAGGAAAAACTCCCTTTTTACCAGGAAGAAACCTCCAGCAGAACCAGGCTCAGTGTGAGCAGCCATCTGCCGAGGCCGACTGAGTTTCAAGGAGACAGAAGCAGAGATACAAAAATCAGCTATAAAAGGCGGCCCCGTCCAGAAAACACAAAGCCAGGCAGACGAGCTCCGTGCCAACTCCCATGTCAGAGGATAAATAGAGCACATCCAGCCAGTCACAGTCAGAGAAACAGGACTACACTGGAAAACAGGCCGTTCTTGAACATATATAAACAAAGGTGTTGATGGTTTAGTTGTTGGTGTTAAAGGGGCAGATCTGAGTACTATCATTGGCTCAAAGACAGTCGTCCAAAGAAGCAAAAATATCCAACAGGTATTAGCTGTGTCAACAGAAATACCTTGTAAATGTAAGGAGGTGATGGACAGATGAGTTTGAGGTAACGGAAAAGTGATAGTTTAAAAAATAACTAAAATGTATAAATAACCTTTAAATTTTGATAATCAGAATACCATATCAACAAGCTGAATCTAAAGCTGTTAGTGTGACAGAGGCAGGGCAACCGAGATAGAACCACACAACAGGACGCTCAGGCTAGTTTACAAAGACTTATTAAAACTGGACAATCGAAAATTTTAAAAAGAATTGGCCTGGCCAATGAGATTAAGATAGTGAAGCCAGAATTTAAATAACATAAAACATTACATCTTTGCAATAGCAATTTAAACAGCAAACAATAATATAATGGAGATATTTTCTTTAAGCCCATTCGAACCAACTGAGCATTGTCAAAAAAAAGCAGACTACCTGACTATTGTTTTGAACGTCTTCAATTCTTTAAGGGCACAACATAACCATCTTATATCTACCTACAGCAGGATAACCTCTACAACAGTAAACGTTGCCAGATTATTCCAATAAAGCAAGTTTGGGATGTGCTGGAACATAAGCATAGCATTAGTAATATGAAGGCAACAAATCAGCAAAAATAGTTTATTGATATGACGTCAATACAGTATGGACCATTCTCAGATCAAGGATTCCAACAACTTGTTGACATGAGAAATTAAAACTGTTTTATGCAAAAGGAAGTACTGTCTGTTACAAGCAAAATGTACCTAATTAGTGATTTGTTGGTATAATTTACATAGGTTTATTATTATCTTTAGCAGAGGCAAATGCTAATAGTTATTTTTTTTATATATACATGCAGTCCTGTAACATGCAGAAAGCATGAATGCATTTTGAAATATTTTGGAACCCATTATTAATTCATACGTCTTAAATCGCTAACTCTTCATCTTAACCTGCAATCTTATCATATTCCAAAGGCAGCCCTGATTACTGGAGTAGCTCTATTTTGGCTTTATTTTCTGATCAAAGCAGGTCTCCTTGGTATAACATACCTAAAAGCCATTGATCTTATTTGGAAAATAAACACTAAATGTGTACTAATCTAGTGAAAAGTGTTTATTGTTTTGATTACATCTTCAATATATCCTCTGTTTGCGATCGCACAAATTTCATCAGTCGCAAGTCATTTAGCATAAACTAAAAATCCTCAAGCCTCAGTATGTTGAAGGTATTTGCTATATGAGAGGCTTCAACAAAAGAACTGCAGACATGGTTCAGTTTGGTGCTCTGTCTGTGAAGCCTATAATCCTTCCTGTCAGATCCAGAGGTCAGACTAACTGGTCGCAATCGGCATGTGTCTGGGTTACATCACTGCAAATGTAATCATTCTTACCGACACGACTGAATCCACAGCAGCCTGTTTGCATGGTGCAATGTAAATGTACTAAGTTAATGTTGAACTGTACAGGTAAATATGTGACTTGGTCGGCAGACAGGGAAAGAAAGGTTCTGAAAAAAGGCTAAAGCTGATAGAACATCAGAAAAGAGGGAAATTTGCATGGAAAATTCACAAAGATTTCACTAGACATTACTATTATCTTATAAAAAAAAAATGTCAAAAGAAATGGAAAATTATTTTTGACACAAAGCAAGACCATAGGATTGGAGTGTATCTTATTGTATTTGTTAACCACTCAAGGTTTCCTGATAGATTAATATTATGTAAGGTGCAACTAAAAACCATAACAGAAAATGTATATTAAAATGATTATTTTTGTATTTATTGCAGAGGTCAACATTTATAAATTACCACATGTTGTCTAAAGACAGTGTCTAACTTAATTTGCCCCTTTTCTCCTGTTAATATGGTAAAGCCCTCCAGAGTGTCCAGGACCAGCCTACACGTGATACAAATTACCCAATAAGCTTTGTCAGTCTGGGTTGCTGCTGCTATCTACTTTTAGACAAAGCAGGCAAACTTGCGGCAAGCAGGGCGATGTGAAAGAAGGAGAAGACGATGAGAAAAAGAAAGCAGAGAAAGTATGGACTCCTGGAAGAACTGTGGTCAACTACTGAAAGAAAAGTGAAATGGTGTACTCAAAGATGACCCTGCACATTTTTAGTATGTTTGGCTGAATCTACTGCTGTGAAGCAGGATTCCCCACCGAGCAGCTGGAAGTGTCACAACGTTGCTGCTGCAATGAATTTAGCTCAGCTCTGCTGGAGATAATGGGTTTGCTGCCATTCCAGCCCAGTTTTAAATGCCTCGCAGTGCAGCATAAAGCCCACTTCTCTCATTAAGCCATAAAAAAGAAAAAAAGAAACAAACTGTCAATTCAGGTGTTTTACAAAATATGTGAATCAGGAAATTGTATACCAAACTTAAAGATTGTTGTTCTCTAGTTCAAAAAACACTTTTAAAATGAACAAAATGTTTTTTTTTGTTATATATTTTGTTATTTGAAAATTCAATGAACGGGTGCATTAAAACCTAATTTTATTACAGTGTTAAATTCTATTTAAAATAACAGATTATATTTAAAAATGTCTCCGGACCTCTACTGGTTCATGATTTTCTTTATTCGGACTATGCTGATTTTTAATTGCTTACCCCTGATTTATTGTATTATTTTACTACTAATGTTATAACCTCACAAACTATTGTGGAGTCAAAAGTGAATTAATCTGTCTGACAACCAAAGCATGGTCTAAGCTGGGTTATCCAGCAGAAAGATAAAGCAGCACAAATCTAAATGCTCAATCGTGTTAATGGATATGACTGGAAGAACTAAATGTGGTACTGTTTTTTTTTGTTGTTGTTAGGATTTAGAATAGAATGGGATAAAGCAAACATTTTCAGTCTCAGATTATATTCTTGGTTAGATTCACCTTACAGAGTCGTACACCTTTAATGCTTATTAGGCATTTGTCATAATTTTATGGCTCTGTTCATTTATTTTGAAGAGTTGGATTACTCAAATGTGTTAATGTTCAGAGCTTTGAGAGGGCCACTGCAACACCCCAGTTCTGGTCTTTGGCTTTTTTTTCATTTCAAAATCATTTTGTATAATAAGTGTTTTAGACCATCATCACCATCAGTTCTTCAATTGCACAGAAATTGTGTCATGCATTTTTATTATGTTAGTGCTGCTTTATTAATTAAAGTTAAGTTGATTAATTTTCAATATCCAATATGAGAAGGAAAGAAAACATAATATTTTTGGAAACCTAATTGGTGAACCCACTTGTAGATTCAGTCAAAATGCCATCAGCATACAAAGTAGCACACCCCACTGGAAAAAAAATACACCTATCATATTACAATACGTGGAGCTTTTCCAACATAAGAGTACTGAGAATGAAAACTTGGACTTTTATTTTGGGACAATGATTTGCATTCCTTAAACTAATATTACAGCCAAAGGAAAAAAATCCCAAAGGGACATTGAGACTGACCTGAGAGGAACCTGATATTTTCATTCATTGAAGGTGTTTGTGTCCTACCCTGCACATTACTTTGTCATGGAAAGCTGTTTAGCAGTGGTAGTGGTAGAAAACAGTCAAAGTGCCAGCAGCTGTTAAAGACTATAACTGCTACACTAGCTTTTTTGCACTGTTTCCGGCTGTTTTGTCTTTGTTTCCCCCATCGCCATGTTTCAAACAAAGCATGCATTAAAGCTCATGGAAACAAGCTGAATAGGTTCAGCACCCCAGAGGTACTGTCTCACTCTCGCTCATGTATTTGCTGTTTAGATCTGTTTTATGTTTTTAACCTCAGTGGAGTCAATTGTACTTGGTGTGGTCTGCAAAAGCTAGGCTGTGCCCCCCAGGCTGCTGGGACTACAGAAGCTGAATGGGGAATAAGTAGTGGTGTTAGCCTGATATAAAGCCACTGAAAAACTTGATACAGCTCAGTCAGTAGCAAGACTCAAACAGATAAGATCTCAACTTCAGAAGCTTCAGGAACCTTCACCAAAATAAGCAACATTATCTGAGGTGAAACTTGAAAATGACCTTGTGTGATTCAGTAGACTGTATTATATCGCAAATAACCTGTTCAAACAGTTATGTCTGTTCCAAAATATCTTTCGTCAATTCTTTCTTTTATTCTGTCATGGGTTAGGGTTTTTATGACATGGGTTATGGATATAATATAAATTTTTTTAAACAAGAAATGGACATTCAGATTGTCATGAAATACATTCCAAGTTTCACATTAAATTGCCTTTTCTTGCTTTATTTGGGAAAACTGTTTTGCAGTCGTGAGTAAATTCCATTGTATGTTCAATTATTAACCCAAGTATTTGAATTCAGTTCAGTTTATTTATATAGTGCCACTTCAGAACACATGTGATCTCGAGCCACTTTACAGAGACATTTCAATGAGATGCATTCATCAAGCAGCACTGGAGAGGAAAAACTCCATTTTAATAGGAAGAAACATCCAGCAGAACCAAACTGTGTGAGTGGCCTTTTGCCAAGGGTGACTGGGGTTCAAGAAGACAGAAGCAGACATACATAAATAAGCAGATATAACAAAGGTAAATGTTAACTAGCTCCACAGGTGGCCCTGTGCAGAGAAGAAGCAGACAGGCTCGGAGTCAGTACCCATGTCAAAGGATGAAAGAGAGCACATACAGTTAGTCCTGTAAA